TATGGATTTTTTTTTTTTTTTTGGTGGAACAGGGGGATTGAACTCAGGCCCTTGCGCTTGCCAGGGAAGAACTTATTCCACTGAGCCATCTCCCCGGCCCCTTAAACTTATCTTAATACTGTTAGCTAGTTCCTTTTTAACAATACTTTGTTATATTTCTCATGAGAATTTATGAAGATAACTTGCAGGTGGCAATTCATCTGAGAGATTTTCTCTTGATTCTTTTAAATACCTGTGCAAAGTCATTACACACTTTGTGTTAATTGTTAATATGTTATAACGACCAGCAGTTAGGTAATATTCAGCATTGGTCAATGAAATCTTTGGTATATTAACAGTGAAGCGCTTATACCACTGAGCCATCTCCCTGACCCCTGAAATTGATAAAGTATTATATTTTTTTTGCTGGAACCGGTGATTGAACTCAGGCCCTTGTGCTTGCCAGGGAAGTGCTTATTCTACTGAGCCATCTCCCCAGCCCCTTAATGAAGTATTACTGATTTAAAAATTAAGATTATCTAAAGAAAAAACCCATAATATTATTTGGTGTGGCCATCTTACATGTTTATGTCTCCTATAAAAAGTTAAATATTTTAGCAGTGGTGTAATAAAGAGTTACATCTACTGTTGATGTATGTATGCTCTGGTATACAGATATAACTTTTTTGTCACAGAACAATAATGAAATACATAAATAAAAACTGTAAATTTAAAATATACTATAGGGGAGCCAGGGAGATAGCTCAGTAGAATAAGCACTTGCCTGGCAAGCACAGGATCCTGAGTTCAATTCCCGGTACCACAAAAAGAAAAGAAAAATAAATAAAAATAAAAATAAAATGTATGATTACACAAACAGTTGTAAAGTATGACAATTTAATGACTATAACAGAAGGCCAATTTCACCTCTTAATTAGTAGCATGCATTTAACAGGTCTTTCTTTGTTCTCAAATTTTCTTTCTAGGGCCAGCAAAATAGCTCAGTGGATTAAAGCACCTGTAAGCAGGCATAGGAGCCAAGGGTTCGATACCTGGGCCTGCTGTGCCAGGCCCCATCACCTGGGTGTGCTGAGATGGTGATTGAGACTGGGTGTGGTGGCCCACGCCTGTAATCCCAGCTCTTGGGTGGCTGTAAACAGGTGGATCACTATGAGTCCAATCTAATAGTGAGACCCTGAACACCCTGTAGACCCTTCCCTAAAATACAAAAAAAAGCAAAAACAAAAAACAAAAAATGCAAAAACAAATTTTCTTTCTAAAGATTACAAATTTAAAAAAGTTATTTTATGTACTAAACTTCAGTATATAGAATACATAAACATTATATATACCTATATGTACATTAATATATACAATTATTATGTAAACTATATATTTAGCTCATATTTCCTAAATGTATTTTATAAATGAAACAGTAATGATAGTGAGTCATATAACACAAAATTCTCAAATCATTATTTGGATTGACTGTCATTATTTTGGTATAATAAAGCTCTAGTATTTACTATTTTACCTGTGCTTGAATGATTGTGATAAAACCATAGATAAATATTGAAATGCATGATACATACAAAGTATGGATTCATTTGCACGGTGGAAGAGTACTTGTTCCCATAATTTACTTCAGGTTTAGTTGTTCCCCAAGAGCTGTCCCAATTATGAGGTACATAGTTGTAAAGATTGTTCTCCTTTGTCTCATGAATCATCAAGCTATTTCAAATAAAAAATCAACAGTAAATATTTTAGGATCCTTTTAAAAATAAAACACTCATAAAGTATATTTTGGTGGCATACATTGTTGTGATTATATGACTATATGATGTAGAAAGTGAATGAAGTCATCCTGAAGGTACATTAGATCTATATAGCACACATAATAAAATCATGACAACCTCATAATACTGAAAGAACTATTATTTATTTTGTTTCTCACTAAAACTAAGGTTTTGCTAGGGAATATTTCTTATGCTCTTTCTCTGTGAAATTATTATCATCCTTAAATTAAGAAAAAGTATAATTTAGAAAGTTTTACAGATTAATTTTTATCATTAGTAAAATTTTTTCTAATTTTTTCTTTTGTCATGACAAAACATAATTATAGCATTGTTATGACTGACTATGCCTTTTTCTTTATGCACATCTACCTCTTAATAAAAATAAATACATACATTAAAACTGTCCAATAAATTTCCTTCCAAATGAGATGGCTGTTTCACTTTTATAGTATTTACAAGTTCTAATTACCCTTTGAAGAGATAGCTTACTTGTTATTTCTTCCAGAGAGCTGTGATGATGCATATACAGGACTTCCAGGAAGGATCCCCTGCCTAGATGAGCTCCAAGGATACTTTACATAGATTTTTTTAGGGGAAAGAAAAGAAGGTTAGTCACGATTTTGAGGAGATTTGAAATACAATACATAGTATCCACCTTTTAAAAGTACTATATGGATTCTACATACTAATAACTACATACTGAGATGCTTTCAGGCCTAGTCCTGCAAAATGATAAAGGCAATTACTAAAAGAAATAAACCCCTAAAATAACTTTGCAAATCTATCATCTATCCATCTATCTATCTATCTATCTATCTATCTATCTATCTATCTATCTATCAATCATTTAGAAATCCATCAGCCATATAGGTATGGAGATGTAGAAAGGGTAAGTGTAATGGAAGATACATTTCACCCACACTCTAATAAATAACACTTTCAAACAAAAGAATTAAATATAAATCAATTTCCACTGTCATATGTGAAAAATATCCCCAGAAAAAATTGAAATTGAAAAATAGAGAAAATTTAGGTTACTTAATGCTTTAGCATCAAACAGCCATAGCATACTGCTGAGAAATTTGGAGTAAAACTCATGTATGTGAATCAAATGACAACGCGTACACGAGCAAAGAATGTAGCAATGTGGTAATTAAAGCAAGAAACTGGCATTTTTACAGAGACACGAACCATACAAGAATAAAGCCAAGTCTATACATAGGCTATTCTTATAGCTATACTAGGTAGTTATGGGCAGATATATACCATTGTGATGTAACTAATGGATAGATTTGAAAATTGTATTTTACATAGCTTCTTTGATGTTTTAACATTGGGAAATTTGATGTGATCTATAAAACTATCCTTTGAACTCAGATTTCAAAAATAAATAATATGTGAAATAAATATCATGAGCCACTCCTAAGTTTCAGTTCATGCCTATAAACTCTTCAGGCATTAGAAATCTTAGATTGATAATAAGTGTTAGAGGGTAGGTTTCACTTGGAAAGACCTATTGATACAAGCAGGAATAAGAAGACAGACCAAATATTTCTCATCCATGGTTTAAATAGCTTTCTTTTGTTTTTGAGCTTTCTTTTACTGCTTTGATTTTGAAATCTTTTTAAAACAAAATGCAAAATGATAAGACAAAAGAAAAAAATCCTGACTGTGGAAATACATTTCTTCACTTTTATCTATAGTCTGATGCTTGCTTTCTGATGTCACAGTGAATAGAACCAAAAATCCCTGATCATTCTTTGTCTGCTACCTATCTTTTTAGGATATACCCATCTTCTTTAGTGCCTGCTCTATTCTCTATTAGGCAAGAAAGAGTAGTATATATTTTGTGATGAAAAAGATCTATCCAAATATTGGTTTGGGGCCTCTCAATATAGATTTGTTAGCTAAAACATTGTAACAATTTTGAGGATTCCATAGGAAGCAGTAGTGGTATCTCAGTATGAAGAGAGCACCTCCCAATTCACCATTATTGGTCTATTTTAAATCAGAACTTGATCAAACTAGGTAGTTATACAAATGTGTGTTAGGTAATGTGTTTCTTTTAGAATAAAATATTTTTCATTTATAGAATACATGTAAAAATCCTCCAGTATTACACATTATATGTATAAAATCATTTATAACTTGGCCAAAATTTTATCATTAGTAATCATTACCAAGTGAATTCAAGTTCCTTTACTTTTTTATCTTTTATTTATTATAATGAGAAAAAAAGATAAAATAGCAATGAAATAGTTTCAAAACAGATTAGTAGGACAGTTACAATAGTTAATAAATTACATATTGTTGTCTTAATAGTCATACAAACGACAAGAAGTCAAGACATATCTTGTCTAAACAATATTAGTTCAAACCTTTCTTCTCATTGAACTAAGGGAAAGTAGCTATGTATTAATCCTAACTGTGTTGTATACATATTTTTTGTTTTCACTACAAAATGGTCCTTTTCTAATATTCTTCTTTTTGGTGTGGTTTTGTCAGAGATGGGTGTTCCACTGCAGTTAGAGAAGCTGTATTTGGAGAAGTCTTTAAAGGAACTTGAAGCCAGTCTAAAGATGGTAGGTACTTGAATTCAGCAGAATAACCCAATATAGTACAACAGTCCATAGTATTATTAGGTTATCAGCAGAACTGGCAAATGTTAGAAGTTGTTGACTTCAGCTTTTCACAGCTCAGCATATTAATATGGTATTTTTTTATATCTTGTGGTTATACTTTTCTATTACATGGTTAAGAACAAGTTAAAGTAGGACCTATATAATTAAAAATGTAACTGTTGAATATGACAAGGTCAGTCAAATCCCCTCATGATTTACCCTGAAACCATATACAGCAAGTTGTAAATATTTTGTCAGTGTCACCTAACTAGATGAGTCATGGTCAATGATTATTTTTATTATTAATTTTATTGAGAAACCAAGAGCAAAGAGACAGTTTCAAAATCGATTAGTAGGACAGTTTCAATAATTAATACATTGCACATTGTGGTCTTCCTAATGGTTATTCATAGTACGAGATGCAGACAGGATATCCTGTCAACAAACACTGTTAGTACAAATCTTTCTTTTCATTGAATTAAGAGAAAGCAGCTGTATATCTATCCTATTTTGAATACACTGATGCAAAATGGTCCTCCATTTTTTTCTTTAGTTTTGTTTTTTTAACTTCTTTAAAATAGAACATTGTAAATTTTATTTAATTGTAGAATTGCATATATTTGTAGAGAATAACACAGAATATATTTATATATCCAGTATCTATTTCTTTTTTTTTTCTTTTTTTAGTGATTTTACTGAGAAACAAAAAGCAATGAGACAGTTTCAAAACCGATTATTAGGACAGTTTCAATAATTAATAAATTGAATACTGTTGTCTTAGTGGTTATTCCTTATACAAGGTACAGACATGATATCTTGTCCACAAACACTATTAGAATAAATCTTTCTATTCATTGAATTAAGAGAAAGTATCTGTATCTCTATCCTGTTTTGTATATACAGATATAAAATGGTCCTACATTTATATCCCCTTTTTTTGTTTTGTTTTGTCAGAGAAGGGTATTCCATTGTCATTTAAATACTGTAAGTGCGTAAATTCAGCAAAATATTCCAATATAGTGCAGTAGTCCATAATAGTAGTGGGTTATCCATAGGACTGGCAATGTCAGAAGTTGTTGACTTGAGCCTTTTATAGTTCAGCATATTAATATGTCTTTACTATTTATACTGCGTTTTTATACTTTTCTGCTGAATGGTTAAGACCAAGATAAAGCAAGATCTATATAACAAGAAATGGAACTTTTGTATCTGTCAAGGTCAATCAAATCCCCTCAGAATTTATCCTGAAACCCTGTACTGCAGTTTGTAGATCCTATGGCAGTGTCAGCCATGTGGATGAGTCCCGGACATTGCTTGACCAATTTGCTCTCTGTGAAAGCCTGAGAGGATGTTTTCTCTCCATGTAACTCTCCTTAGGCACGCTCTACATCATTGATCACTTTCCCCTTTGGCCCCATAATCTGCTTGATCAGAAAATTAGGGACCCAACTGAGTTATATAATGTTACAGTCAGGTTCTCCTATGTCCTAAGTCCTCACTGACCATGAAAAGCTAGTGAAAAAATGTTGGCGATCCTTGCAGCCCTTCTTTTTCTCTAATTTTTGCTCTTCAAACTCAAGTTGTTAGCCCTCCAGAAGAGAAGCTTATTATCATTACCCTACAACATACACACTTGAGCTTAACCTCACTATCTGTATGAATATCAAACATTTTAGGCATAACATGGAACAGGTATTTTTCATCAAGTGTTGATATGTTCAACTTTAAGTCCCTACAGAATATGAAGAAAAAAATTAAAAATAGGAATATACAGTTACACATTTTTACACAGAAATTTAGAAATCTAACCATATATAACATTGTAGTATGACAGTGCTAGGACATTTTTCTTGTCTCTTGTTTTCATTTATTACCATTTTCTTTAAACAAACATTTACTTGAGAGACAGTACAGCAGTAATTGTTATGACATGAAAAGCAGTACATATTTAGAATACCAGAATGACAGGCATTCCAAGAATTACCCTAGTATTACACATTGCTATCTTCAGTGCAGTTGCTTAGTTCACAGGTATCAGCATATGTAGTTAGTCAGGATGAGAATCCTACAAATTAACTGCTAGTTTCACAAACCTACTGAAGACTCTCAGTATCATTGCCTTAACCATCTTGTGCATATAAATGTATGGCCTTGCACTTGCCATTTTTCCTAGCATTTCCTCCTCCCTCTTCTTTGTTTTCTAATCCTAAAGTTCTCAGCGTCCTTTCAATTGTGTTATACCTTTCTATTTTTATTACTCCTTCTGAGCTCTTACACTAGGGACATTATACAATATTTACACATGTCAGTCTGGTTTATTTCACTTATGAGGATATCTTCAAGTGACATCCACTTAAATATAAAGGCTTCGAGTGTATCATTCTTTATAGCTGAGTAATACTCCATTGTATAAAAATACCACATCTTTTTCATCCATTTCTCAGATGATGGGCATCTTGGTTTTTTCCAAGATTTGGCTATCACAAATTATGCTGCTATAAAAACAGGTACACAGGGGCTGGAGAGATGGCTCAGTGGTCTAAAGCACCTACTTAGAACAAGCTTAGCAAAAGCATCAGGGACCGCGGTTCAATCCCCCAGCA